CGAATCAACTCTTCAAGTCCTTTTTCTCAGTGTTCTTTAATCGTGATGTTGATATTTTTAAACGGCTGTGAGGTCCTTAAATATTGTTTGTTTATAGCAAATAATTTTAGTTCCGGAGCTTATGAAGAGGAATCATTCACCATATTTTTCGGACAACCCTTTCGGACTTTCGCTCAACTGAAAAATTGAAAAAGGAACACAATTAATGAAGTTGGAGACATTGAACATAAACTATCCAGAGGATGAATAACAGGAAATATGTCCCAAAGTTCGGACTATTCCAGGATCCAATTTCTTGCGTTTATGGTAACCCGTGCGGAGATCACAATAAGACTTTGAAAAATAATAAACAGATAAACATTTCTTTTTGATATTTTTCAATTTCCATATAAAACTAGCAACTTACCGTTCTAATATTAAATTAGATAATTTGGAAAATCTTAATTTATTTTTATTCCACGCTGTTCATCAAAAACTCTATCAGCATAAATAGCTCTTTTCAAAACATAAAATGCTATTACTATAGCGGTTTTGAGTAGTAAAAATAGAATTCCATAAGCTAATTTCAGATATAGCATAAACTGTCATTGAGAAGAAAAGCATACTTTTTAAAAAATAAAAAACGTGGTATTTTTTTTTAATGTTTAAAAATTACTTCTGCACCACCATGCCTGGGCTCATATATCTATGCAAAAACTGAGATTTGTTTTCGGTTCTATTAATTTTTTTCTATCAGGAAAAGTGGGAAAAATCTTGCCAAACATGCTATTTTTTAAAAGTTAATTTTTCTTTATATTTTACATTATTTGTCGGTTTTAAAAGGCAGAAAATTATTGTCAAACGTATACACATCATATCCAGTAGAGGACTGAATCAAAGTTAAATTACTCCGAAAGTAGGGCAATAAAGAAATAAATGAAACAGTGTGTTTATTGCAAAAGCTGTAAAAACCTCATACAGAAATTTCTTTACAAAAATTGTAAGCAGATAGAACTGCAAATTCAAGTTTATATAAGTTCAAGCTTTAAAACGTGAAAAGATGTTAAACTTCTTTTCACGTTTTTAAGCGTAGTTTATGGGGCGGAAACAACACAGGTTAGATTACAGCTATACGGCTTTTATATTCTTTTCAAGAATTTTGCATCTAGTATAGCTCCATCTTTTTGCATTTTTTGTAACTATATTTCAAAATTCCTCCATTGACAAATTTACAGCTTTCACACTCGACATACCTTGTGTTTCATTCCTCTATCCCGTTTGCTTCCGAAATTTTTTATTTTGAAATCAGTCAGTCCTCAGTCGGTATAATTTAAAATTAAAACACGTGAGCTGTGCTTATTTTATTCTCCTTCACAAAAAGTTCTGAAGAACATATTTAAACCTGGACAATCTAACCTACTTCACTCCTCTTTCAATGCACCTATCAAGAAATGTGGGTATAGACATTGTTATTGTGTTTCTTGCACCACAAAAGACATGGACAAAAGTTGGAGTTTTAAAAAAATTGTAGAAGTATTACATTGCAAAAAGGAATGCTTAGCAAAAAGATTAAACTATTCATGCGTGATTTCATCAGTAGACAAAGTGTAAAGTAGTAGATTTTATATTTTTTCCTGCATCATTTTTATACTTTACCCTGATGAATATGATCCAGAGTAGCGTCGATACTCAGAACGTATTTTAATACAAATTGTGAATATCAATTTTCAAATCCGATCTAATAATTTCTGAATGTATTTTAAGGGATACCTATTCGATATGCTTCGAAGAAATCTCCACTTGATGCAATCAATAACTGTACTCGAGTATAAAAGTTTCAGAAACTACTTTTCAGGTCCCTTTTCGGAATGTTTTTTTGTAAAAATCCGGACTACTTTAATGATTTATGAGGAGGATTGCTCTCTTAGAAGGTGTTGTTTTTACCAAAGAAAAAAACTATTTTCAGAGCACTTTTTGTATTCTGTTTGAAGAAAGCATATAAAAGTGCTTTAGACGTATTAATTGTTTTTTACGAGACAGAAATTCACTCATTACGGAATATGTAAGTGCAAAATTTGTTAGTTTAAATTTTGAGAGAAACAATATCAAGAATGCAAGTTTGAGATTGAGGTAAATTTGACATTAATATAGCAACATAATACGTTAAGGTTTGCGTAGTGCTGTATCAATATCATCTGATGAAACACTTCAAACACTTCCATTGAGTTTATATGAACATTTTTTGTGTTTATGACAGTGCTTACTAGCAATATGCACATACATACACCGAAAAGCCATTACATTAAGACCATCCTCCATCTATAACAATGGACTCGCCCAGGTTTTCGTGGTTTCTTGGCCAGGAACAATGTTTTCATGGGGCACATTAGGACCCATAGTCCTCATAGAACAATCCCTGACGTCTGTAAGCTTTTTGAACATAGTTGCAGACCAGGTTCACCCATTCATGCCAAACAGTTTTTCCTCCGAGTGATGGTGTTTGCCAACAGGATAATGCACCATGTCATAAGGGTCGAATCGTTATGGATTGCTTCGAGGAACATTTCAGTGACTTTCATGTCATATCTTGGCCCCCAAATACAGCTGACCTTAATCCAAGAGAGCATTTGTGGTCCTACTTGGAAAACCAAATTCGTGCTGCCACGCTACCCCCTCGCTATGTGAGGGAATTGCAGGACCAGTTGGTGAGCGCTTGGTACCAGATACCTCAGACAACCTATCAGCACCTTGTGGAATCAATGCCATGGCGGGTGCTAACAGTTTTGAGGGCAGAAGGTGGTCCTACATGTTATTAGCAGGGTGGTCATAATGTAATGGCTCTTCAGTGTATATCTCATAAATTTTAATAAGGCTAAACACCTAATAAGATTTATATTTAATTCAGAAAATTTGAGATTTTTTTCAAATAAAACAAGCTAAGAGCAAGAAAATACATTTATTATTACGAAAGCATAATTCTTGAAAGCATAATAATTGAAATCATCAAATTGAGAAATTAAAACACTTTGTCATTTTTATTTCCAAATTAAAACTTTAAAGTCGTATCAAAATAAATTAAAGTGATGTCTTAAACAATGAGCACACAACATAAAAGTAAGTAATAAATTCCAAACATTACAATTCTTAATTATTTATACAAATAGGAATGTAATTTATTTACAAAACTTAATATTCAAATGAATTCTATTTAAATGGGTTTTAAGCATTTTTATATCACAGTCAAAACATAGTTTTGCATATTAGTTTAGCTTTTTGACTATTTCAACCAATAATTAGTTATCTATAAATTTGTTCCAAAAGAACAAATTAATAACAGCACTTATTAACAATAATTAATAGTAAAAACATTCTAATTTAGTAATCTAAAACTTTGAAAGTAATAAGTACATAATAATTAATAGTTTTATTAATAGTTTTGTCATTCCAATTCACGCACATAAATACATACCTAGTTACATTTGATGGTTAAAGCCATCAGTAATGTTGTTAATATAAATTAATGCTTTTTAGAAAGATTTTAATTGTATTTTACGTCTTCGCTAAATAATTTTAATACTTTACGTTATTAGAAAAAAATTAGTTTAGCGAAAATGCAATGAGTTTTATTTAAAACGCATGCACACATACAAGCATATTGTCATACACATTGAAACTCTGTTAAATTTATGTAATAAAATACAATAATTAATAGTTTATTGTTAACTTTGAAATATTTAGCATATTTTAAATCACAAAAAAGTTAATGTTCGTAAATATTTAAAAATAATCTCATGCAGCAGTGTAAATAATGGAATATTATTTTTAAATTCGATCAAATTTCTGAATTCTAAATTTTTATGTGAATGCAAAACAACAAGATTGGCATCAGATTTTCAAAAGTAGTTAGCAAGCCTATTAAAGTTGTGCCATATAAGTAAGAAAAATCAGCAAGCTTATGAAGCATGAATAGATAGTTTGCAATAATTTAAATAAAAAGAAAATACTTGAGTATAAAAAAAATAAGTTAAGTAAAAAAAATGCCGGATCACCTCTTAATGATAATTTTATTTGACTTTTAAAATAATACGACTTATACATTTGATGTTTAAGTATTAGGTATATAAAAATTATTTCCATGCATTGTGGTGAATAAAAATGAGTTATGATAATGAAGTTTACAAGGAAAAAATATGACACTAAATTTTTTATATAAAGTAGAAAATGTGCATTGGTGCTATTTCTTAGTTTTTAGTGCAATCAGTTAAAAAGAACTGTTTACTATTTCTCTAGTTTTTTCACTTGCCTGTCAGAAGACTAACTATTTTTCATGTAGCAAACGCGTTTTTATAATTAGAAAATAGTTAAAATGAAACATGACATTGAACGAACCGCCGAAGATATACCAAAAAAATTTTTTTACAGTAATGGCACTTTTATTGCACTAGAAATTTACATCAATTAAATACGAAAATATGAACTATTTTCATCGTTTTAGACTTCGTTAATATTTTTTTTAGAATCTTACTAATTTGTTGCCACTCAAATTCAATAAGAAATGGCTTGGGTATGAGCAACTACTTTGTAGTGGTTCAATGATATAAAAACTAGTAATGAAATATAATAAATAATTTTTTGCTTTTTAACTTTTGGATGCGATGAAATGTTTGTTTTTTAAAATCTTACTTGTATGTTAATATTCAAAATATTTGGTGTAGGCAAATACTTTCCATCAGTGTAATGTAATATAAAGTATTAATGTATTATAATAAAAATATTCATCTTTTTAAACTGCGATTATGACTGTCTTAATTCGAATTTTTTTATTATTTTAACTCTCAAAATAAATAAAAATTGGTTACGGTACAGGCAAATACCTTTATGTTGTATAATGAGATATTAATAGAATAAAATAAACAATTTTCAACATTCTAAAAGATGAAATGCTTGTTTTTAATTTGAATTTTACTTATATATTAATATTCAAATTATGTAAAAAATAATCATTATTTAAGTAATTGCATTCGAATAGTATAAAAATATCAATTATTAATGGAATTTAAACTATATTTTGCTCTTTAAACTAAGGCTACGATGAAATGTTTGTTTATATTTCGGATAGAACGTGTATGTTAACAATCAAAACAAATAAAAAAGTAGGCAAATACATTCAAATGGCATAATAAAATATAAATCATGAATTTAACGTACCAAACACTTCTTGGCTTTTCAAACTATGACTGCTATGAAATGCTTGCTTTTAGTTTGAATCTTATTTATAATGTAAATAAGATTCATATTACGTATTATGTTAAAATTATAACATAATATGCAATAACATATAACATATTAGAATTATTACGTATTATGTTAAAATTCAAATTAAAAACAATTATTATGCAGGCAAATATTATCCACTTGTGTATTTAAATACAATTTAACTCGTCAATTTCGTCAAACTTGACTTTCTGAATTATGGTTACTTCTGTGATTTAGAGATTCACCCCCAGAGGAGCGAATTTGAGTGTTCTGTTGTGCTCTCAAGTTATCTGTCAAGGAACTTCTGTTCGATACCAAAGCAGAGCTAACTTTAGCTATCATACATCCCATTCGTACCATTTCACGTCGAATGTTACTGTTTAACCATCCATAAAGTATGGGATTGGTTATTGATGACGTCATTGCTGTCATGTGACAAATTGCAAACGATAAATACAAATCTTTTGGCTCCAATATATTTGGATGGAATTCCACCAGCAAGTTTAACCCGTTCCATGGAAGCCAGCTAACAGTAAACACAACTGAAATTAACAGTAGCACCATTGTAGCTCGAGTATTTCGCCTCAGATCTCTTTGGAATCTCTCATTGTGCACGCTTGCGTTATCAATACTCGATGCATCACTATCCGTTTTAATAATCTTTTTATTCAAATGAGTCCGTATGTGGACATGCGTTATCAAAAGAGCTATTGACGGAATAACGAATTGGAAAACTAACGTCAAAAGAGTATACACTCCTTTAAAAGTTGCACTTGGCCATAATTCAACGCACTTATAATACAGATGCAATCCCGGAAGTCCGACAGGCACAGTATTCTGAAATATGCAAATAGGTATCGAGAGAAGCAAAGCTGTAATCCATATAAGAGAAGCACTCATAAACATTTCACGTTTATTGCCTTTCGGAAATTGTTGGTTTAAATTAATTATTGTGTTATACCGGTCAACAGCTATTGCTAATACTGTTGCTGCAGATACAAATATGGTGGACGCTTGTACGAACGGAACCATCTTACAAAGAAAAGCTCCCAAGATCCAGCTTCTTCGTATTATCACCATTAGTGTGAAAGGCATGCAGAATACGCATAAAATGATGTCTGATATATTGAGATTAATAACCAATATATTACGAGATGACCTGAAAAAAAAAAGCAAAACATTATTTTTTCTTTAAAAAAAGGATTATTTAAGAAGTTAAAAAAAAGGATATAATAAACAAAAGAGATTTAAGAGCCAACAAAAAATATCATTGGAACTGCTTTTAAAAATTCCTTTCAAATTGGAGCTCCATGCTTTTCTCATGAAATTCTGAACTATTGTAGTCAAGGTACGTCTGAATTGTGGGATTCTCTTTAAACATAAGTATTAAAATCGCTCGAAACATACACGCTATGAAAAAATTGATATATAAATATTTCTTTCAAAATTACATTTTGATTTACGTACTTTGTATTTCAATTATAATTATAAAAAGATCATTCGAATAGAATATCAAATTGCTGCATATAGAAATAATAATAAAAACACAAGGAGGATACAAATACTTAGATTAAATCTATGATCAACGTCCGTTATTGTAAGTAGCACAAAAGTGGGCTACTTTGATAACTTATAGATTTCACATTTGTAAATTTAGGAATTATTAGACATGATAGTAATAGAATTTAAGGACATCGTCTTAGAAAAAATGATCAGGGTTTGTATGGTGCGTAGAAATTTTTGGAAATGGTTGTTATTTTCTAATAAAAAAGATTCAATTTCTTATTAGCTTTCGCTTTTAAATTAAAACTGTAATGCGTATAATTTTGTAATTAGATATATTTATTTGGAAATAGTGGTGAATATAAATTTATTTCCTTAATTGTTCTGTTGGTTTTTAAATTTTAAGGACCATATGAGCCCTAACCAGACTCTCTGCTTTTTGTTGCCAACAAAAGGAACATTTTCATTGGTATGAACATTTAAGGACATATCAGCGTTTTTCTATTATATTGATAAGAAGCACTCGTATTATAACTAATATGATGGCATTTATAACCAAGTAATGAGAAGATCATTTGATAAAATTTTATTTATCAGTACCATATTCCATGCTCTTTTTATTATCTTCCTTTTCTGCTTCGCTTAAAAACATCTATGTAGTCTTACAAAAACATTTTTATTTATATATGAGTTTACCTGAGCTACTTTAAGAATATACAGTTAGAACTTTCAAAAAGATTAAAAAAGTTTAAAGAAAGTACATTTCTCTAATCTAATATGTTTCGCCTTTTTCTTTCTTTTTTCCTGAAATATTTTAAGGCGACAAGATGTATTGATATTGGTTTTTTAAGAACTTGGATTTTTATCTTTCATAACTTTTTACATCTTTGAAAGTGTTGTCTTTTTTTCCGTTCTTTTTCTTCTGTATGTCAAATAATGTAAGTCTGAGCTTTTGTTTGGTTGGGTGGTGAAATAAATTTAAAAGAACCATGATATTAGAAATTCATTAAATTTTCTTTAACAATCATTGATTATGTATATATTTTTATAGGGCATAATTTATAGTTTGATGAGCTGAGTAGGTGAATTTTTTGAGGAAATTTTAATACCTTTTCGCAAATTAGCTTTAAATTTACGTGGTGACAAAAAGAAGTGCATAGCAATTGTAAACAAATGGCAGATGGGAACTGGTGACGTCAGTTCGAGAATGATCACACGAATCTTCGTTTTAATGGAAAACGAAAGAAAACTATTTTTTTTATTCAGACTAACTTAGTAGTTGGCACTCTTAAAAAGTAATAAAATTTTATCTTGAGTTTTTGAATGCTTTTGAATACATTAAGAATTTAAAAAAAATTATCTGTACTTGTCCATTTTCCATGAACTGGTAATGAAAATGTATTTATGCGAGATTTCATTGCTTTATTTGCCTTTACTTCCTGTCTGAAAGATTCCAATTTTAATTTTCTCCTATAACTGTCATTGAAAAGCCGACACAATTTTGGGCATACTACTACTGTTGCTCAACTCCATAAAGCCTTGTAATTTTGAACCCAATCCAGAAGACAAGGGAACTTCTGAATCAAGTATTGGGAGAAATTTGTCTACACGGCGGACATTTTTTGTTGTTGATAAAACTAACCCGCATTTGAGTTACATGGTGAGGAAAACGACGAAAACTTCCCACGCTTAACCTGATGGCAAGTAGACTCAAACCCATGATCCGTCTACCACTGAGGATATTTTTACGTCTGCACAGTGGTCGGTGCGAGCCGGGTGCACTACTCTCATCGACCGGCTATATCTGGGATTCGACCTCGGTTCACCCCATTGAAAGGCGAACGCTCTATCCCCCTTTGAGCCACTGCATCTCTGCAAGCTCCCAATTTTATTTTATTTTATCACTATCATTGACTAGCCGACCCAATTTTTTCGGTTTATGACTGCTTATGTTCAACTCCGCAGCCTTGTAATTTGAACCAAATTCAGAAGACAAAGGAACTCCAGGATCAAGTATTGCGAGAAAGTATGCTTTTGTGGAGGACATTTTGATAGAACTAACACCCTTTTGCGTTACATGGAGAGAAAAATTACGAAAACCTCCCATGGTTAGCACGACGGCAAGGGGCCTCCACCCCATGATCCATCTACCACTGAAGATATTTTGCGTTAGCATCGGTGCGAGCCGGGTGCGGAGTTTGTATCGACCTGTCAGATTATTGGAAAGCGAACTCTCTATCCCTTGAGCCATCACGGTTCGCAATTTTCCAATTGAGAAAATTCTTTAAATTGCTATAATTCCAACTGTTCGTGTCATAACGGTTGTGAAGAGTGGCTAATTTAAATTTGTCCGCTAACTTGTTCGTTACAAATGCACTTGAAACCTTCTTCCGTTCCTACATTACTAGTTCAAAGATGGACACTGAGTGCTTTAATTCCAATGAGATCTTTAAAACTTAAATACTTGTTAAAATAAATTAGGGTTAAATGAGACAAAAATAAATGTTTTCTCTGAGAAATTTCATTTTTTTTTCTCAAAGATTTCGCTTTTCCAAAAAAATGTAAAAATCGTGACAAATTTCTAAACATAATATTAAAGTTTTTTTTTAAGAACTACGTAACATTCATTGTGTAAATAGTGATAAAGTTAATAATTTTACGGGTTACACTAATAGGGTACGATTTCAAAGTAAATATTTGATATGTGGTTAATAGTTCCTATATTTTAAAAAGCTGATTATTTTCAGGATGCAGCATTAAAGTGCTTCATCCTAACCATGCACGAGAATCATTCTCACCAACTTCACAATTTTTTCAGGAGAAGCTGTTTTTCCAACTATGATTGCAACGACTAACAACTCCAAACTTCTGAAAGAAATACAAAAGGACTTTTTTATATAAATGCAGAAAACAGTAATGGTTTTTGCAAGGTCAAGAAGTCAGACTGGGGAGAAATCTTCTTTTATATATATATANTATAAAATAGAATATTGGTTAATTCTTTGCAGAAGATAAAATTTAGAAAACCCCATACGTCTTCTAAGCAAAAATGCTCTTAAGAATGAAATCATTTTCAAGAAATAAGCAAATAAAATTTCGATTTACAAATCAATCTCAATCTAAAAAACATTTTAACATAACGTAACTAGAAAACCCTATTAAGAGCTAAAACATCTTAGGGTCATATTGTTTTAGGTTTATGATTCTAATGAAGCAAAATTATTTAATACAGACTTAAAGTAAAATACATGAAGATTAATTCGGGTTTTACACATTAGAAGAATCGAACATTTCCAAGATAACAGTATCAAATTGTTACAGTATGATCCAATTTTTCAGATTTATGATTTTGCTGTACATGATTATTCGATACAGATTAGAATTAAAATATGGGACGACTAAGCATGAGTTGATATCTTTGGCAGAATGTAATATTTTAAGGACATAGCATAAAAGTAATTCATACTAAAACACTGTAAGGATATATTGTTTCAGTTTCATGGATTTATGGAGTAAAAATACTCGGTTGAGTGTAAAAGTTGATGTTTGATTATCAGTTTGAAGTTTTGGCTTATCTTTATGCAATTACTTGCACTTAAAAGGTTTTTTGAACTATAACGACTAGCAAAATTTTAGTTAGATAACAGAATGTAAACTACGATGCATCAAAACCTTCCGGAACTAGCTCATTTAAAATTATACTTCAATTAAAAAATAATTTTTTTTTACGTATTAAGTAAAGGGACAACATAAATTCTTCTAACATAAATGTATTTGCCTTTAAGCCAAATAGTTATTTCGATAGTAGGTATCATAAGGTAGCAGGAGTTAATGATCTGTTAGTTTAAACTACCCACGCCAAATAGAGTGGGATATGCGAGTAGATAATAACGGGAGTCATTAGCCGCTCTCATAGGTAGGCGTATATAACTAGCGTATAGTGAAATATTGAGTATAGCGAAATATTGAGTATAGTTAGCGCTATTAGCTCGTGAAATGAAACTACCGAACTCTTGCATCAGCCACAATGACACCACAAATTAAAATATTATTGAAAAATGTAACTTCCAAAATTTTACTTTGTTAATACTTAAGATAAGTTTAACTGAGACCAGACAACTTACCGTTTTTTTTTGTACTAGCTAGAATGACATTATGAACAAAAATATAATTAAAGAAATTAACTTCTAAAATGTTAGCTTGTTAAAACTTGAAGTCATGTCAACTAAAACCAGTCTACTTACAGTATTTTAGTATTAGCCAGAATGACATTTTAAACTAAGTATCATTAAACTAAAATATTATTAAAAAAATTAACTTCTGAAATTCTAGCTTGTTAAAACTTGAAATTAGGTCAACTAAAACCAGGCAACTTAACGTATTTTAGTATTAGTCAGAATGATACTAACAAACTAAAATATGTTTGAAAATATTAACTTCCGAAATGTTAGTTTGTTAAAACTTAAAATTTGTTCAACTAAAACCAGGCATTTTACAGTATTTTTGTATTAGCCAGAATGACATTACAAACTAAAATATTATTAAAAAATCAACTTTTAAAATGTTAGTTTGTTAATACTCGCGATTACGTCAACTGAGACCAGTCGATTTATCGTATTTTTGTATTAGCCAAAATGACTCTACAAATTAAAATATAATTGAAAAAATTAACTTCTAGAATGTTAGCGTATTAAAACTTAAATTTGGTCAACGAAAACCAGGCAACTTACCGTATTTTAGCATTAGTCAGAATGATACTACGAACTAAAATATAACTGCAAAAATTAACTTTTAAAATGTTAATTTGTTAATACTTGCAATTACGTCAACTGGGACCAGTCGACTTATCGTATTTTCGTATTAGCCAGAATGACTCTAGTACAAACTAAAATATTCTTGAACAAATTAACTTCTAAAATGTTAGCTTGTTAAGATCTAGAATTACTTCAACTGAGACCAGGCAACTTACCTCATTTTTGTATTAGCCAGAATGACACAACAAACTAAAACATTGCTGAAAAGTCCGATTGCCATGAGTGTTGTATAGCTAGCTATGATGGCTGTTTCAATATTATATCCAAAAATTTTGTCATTTGAAAAATGTTCTTCCAGAACATCCAAGGCTTGAAGCAAACTGAAGTTGAAAGATAAATTATAGTTTGCATCTGTATTATTTATTGGAAAATGAACTGGCATGTTGTGCGTAGATGACTAGCAGCAGGACTTAAAAAATGCCTTGGAAACATGTAGATCCATGTTACTAGAGGAAATAAACCTACAAGAAATAAGCAAACATTGAGAAAAGTTGGTGATTCAAGTGTTATTGGGAAAGCCTAAATGGTTAGCATCAAAAGCTCAAATAAAAATACTAAAATTAAAATCCAATAAAACATAATTTTATTGGATGATTTTACTACATTAGGGAGAGCAGCAGGCCCTTTATCGCCTATAATTCAGGGTTACAGTATCCGGTGTATTTTAAGGCTATTTAACTCAACGAGTTCATTGAATTAAGTAGTAAAAAGACATTACATGTAGTTACATAATAATAAGCATATATGGTTGGAAGATAAATAGTAAACATATAGTTTGAGACATAAGAATAAAAAATGTTAACATTAGAGTTAAAGTCGTTATAAGACGCTTATTACCTTGTCGACATTATACAAACTTCGAAATTTAAATCTAAATAAGTTGTAAAATAAACTTTATCTCGCAGTTTTAATTAAATGCTGACACTAACGTATGCGCAGTGCATGAACAAATAGTAACAAGTCAAACGAAGTCAAGTCAGGACCGCAAAAAAAAAAAGAGTTCTTTCGAAATATAACAACTATAACGACTTTTTTTAAACAATATATCTATAAATAACTAAAACAAATTTAAACTTCAAACTCACCAGGATTATTTAATCAGATTATAAAATCAATCCAATTTACTTAGTCAATTTTGATGCATAGGAGGTAAATAAACCCATTGAAACATTAAATAATTAAATCAAATTGGAAAAGCGCACAAGCCAGCTGAAACCAAATTTGCTTTACATAAAATGGAAATGAGACATTAAAATCTTTATAATTAAAATAAAAATGAAAATGTAAATGCGTGTTTGCAGAACCGTACTTCATCAGGGGACACACTGCCCATAAACACACGGGAGCCTTTCTGTTGCTAGTAGATTTAACCAGTGCCCCGAGGCCCCTTAATGAAAAAACAAAACAAAAAATAAAAAAATAACTTTCACCACAATTGAAAAACACTATTAAATTGAAAAGGAATCACACCTAAAAAGTACAAAATTTAAACCATCAAATGAAACGCCTCCTTCAAATCACAATATAAATAAATGCAAGTAACGTAACAGTCACAGTTAATTTAAGTAATAATATAAAAATATTCCGAATCAGTAAAGGAAAAAATCAAGTGCTGACACCTGTGTTGGAATTCCTAAACATCTAAACATCAAAACACCTAAACATCAGGATTATTTAATATCACTAATATTTTATTAAATGCAGCAAATTTGAGCTCAGACAGAAGTTATGTTACTTGCTATTTTTTTTTATTGGAAACAAAATTATCCATTTGGAAAGATCTCCTTGCACAATAAGCTGTAGTAAACAATTTTAAACTTTCTAACCGAAAGTAAGAAAGAACTCGAGATTTGCTACTGTTTACATTTGTATTGAAAACACCATCCATAGAATGTTTCAAGCAGAGCTTAATTATGGCATGGACAGAAAATACACTTCTCCACGGCTCGACAGCAAACTTTTATGCGTAAAATTTTAAACTGTAATTTCTTAGTTTGAAATTTAATTAGTTAATTTGTTTATAGTCAGTGCGCCATCATTTAAGCGGTTGCTTTCTGAAATTAGTTCTTTAACTGGTCGTGGAAGTTAAATTAATCATGATTTATTAAAGTAATTCTTTTGTAAAAAGAATATAAATTTATTTATTTAATTATTTATCATCAGTGTGCCATCATTTAAGCGGTTGCATTCTGAAATTAATACCTTACCTGGTCGTGGAAGTTAAATTAATCATGATATATTAAAGTAATTCTTTTATAAAAAGAATATAAATATTTTTCATTAATAAACTTTTTATTAATAAAATATTAACTTATATTAAAAACAATTAATTTTTATTGTTATTTTTTATTAATATAATAATTAATTATAATAATAATACAGTTTATAAAAAAAATATTTTTTTGTTGAAACTTTTAAAGAGTGAAAACCTTGATAATGGAAAAGCAACAACGGGGGTTGGTTAGTAAGAAGCGGGATTTCACAATATTACCGAAAAATAATTTGATAATAATAAATTTTTATAATTCGAATTAACATTTTTAACTTACATTGAAATAAATAATATACAAATAATCATTAAATAGCATTAAAGAATTTAAAACTGCTTATGAAAAAAATTCTATTGAACTGCATATAATTAAGAGTGACGTGAATGAATTCATTTAAAAATTCATAAATAAAAGTCGTTGTAAAAGTGAAAGTCTTTTTCCATGATTATTACATAACACTAATTAGCACATCGCAGACGGAAACCTTCCAACTTAGCGATCGAATTTTGTTATGTAAATTAAACACCCTTTTATTAAAACTACATGCCATTGTGTAAAATAAACTGACATTCTGAGACAGGCAATACAAGAGTTAGGAAAATAAAAGAAATTTACATAAGTTAATTTAAATAACAAAGTCTTATAACAACGTAATTAACGTAATCATTCTTTTCAACTTCAAACATGATTAAGCTAAGCCAGATAAATTTTACGA